TAAATTAACTTGCAGGTTTTAGTAGAGGTGGTGTTGGTGGTAGTACCTTCAGTTTGGGAAGGGCAAGGTCACCATGTGTTAGCTTCCCTGTACTCATGTTTGTACTCTCAAAGTCACTCGACCATCCAAGAATGAACGTGATCTTGTCAAGTTATGTTGATTTTCGGGTATGATGATGATTGATGAGTGGTATCACTTTGAATATATATATATATATGGAATGTAGTTTTGATCTTAATTTCTTCTGTTTTTTGTTTTTTTGGACTTGTCAGAAAGGAAAGGTGAGGAGAGAGCAGCTAGTTAAGAAGATGAGGGAAGTGGTTGGGGACGAACTTCTTTTGGAAATAATCAAGAATCATAGAAATTCAGACTAGTATTTTGATCAGGTACGTAAGTTTCATTATCAGACGACAAATAATAATTTTACACATTTTTTCCTGCGTCAATATATCTAAAATGTTTTCTTATGGACCAAGGTCTTTACTTTTCTTGGGGAATACGAATAGCATTAGTCAATAAAATTATTTTCATTAATTCCGTAAAATAAAAGTGACCTGTTAATGTTTTCTTGGCAGAGAAAGCGACGTGGATTAGGAGAAAGTTAAGCAAAGCAGGAATTGATGATGACGCATAATGGAGTAGGTTGAAACAGAAAAATCAGGTTTTACAGAAATAGTATATAGAATATTATGATATATATAGTTAATTAGTGTGTGTTGTAGGGGTTTTATCAATCAGATTACGTACAAAAACACTTTAAATAGACTTTGTTAAATATTCCAATCATATTATCTCCTCTTGCTTGTGGAAACTCATGAAACACCTCATCTCAACTTTACTAATCAAATCTTAAGACACAGAAGTTAGTTCATTCATTACCTTTACTCCAAGAAATCAACCTGAGATTGTAGTTCTCTCTCCCCAGATGATGGATATATCTCCTCTAAGTATTCATGCGGTTTCTTAGTATGCATTAGACATCCACATCAGCCAAATAAGAAATAGAACAAACCTGCACTCCTTCGGTTATTTTTAAGATAGGATATTCAGTTTCTGGACAAGTGAAGATCAAGGTCATCAAAACTGATTACTATAAGACGAAATAGAGCAGACACTGCTCCAGATGAGAGACATTACCGGAAGTTGGATCAAAAAATATAATTAATCTAATGACTTTCTCCTGCGAAAAAAAAAATAGTGTGAACGCTCAGAAGTTGGGAACTTGGGAGAGTATATCTACAAAGAAGCATTTGGATATATAGGCCACACACACCCTCTGAATATCATTCTGAACCAAGAGACTGTAACAGTGAGAGTATTTCAGTAGCTGTGCAATACTCTCCGTTCACAGGACTAACTGTGTAGTCACTTTTTGGTTTCTCCTGATAAAGGAAATATTTTTCTGTCAATTTTGAAAATTATTAAAGGTTCACAACCTCAAGAACTGCATTAACTTTATGCTGAAGACATAGTCTTTGACCTTTGTACCTGAGATAATTGTTCTTTGTCACCGTTTATGCCTTTAAACAACTCTGCTTCAGTCTCCTATAGAGACAACATAAGAGATGTTGCGACAGCTTGCTAATATATACTATGAAAGGTAAGCAATGAAGAGATTATAAGTTTCAACACACCTTGAGCTTTTTGAAACGATCACCAAGAGGAGAAAGATCATGGAGAATCTTACGGGACAGGTAATCTGTAGACCTAGTATGTTGGAAGAAAGGGGTGTTTCAGAAGTTTTGCAGAGGTTGGACGCTTTTTGGATCTTTAACTAAACAGGCTGCGATTGACTCTCTAAACGACTGTGGAGAAAATTAATACAGAGTTACTTTCTCTGAGTGCAAGACAAAAGTAATACTCACTGTATGTTTGTTACATCCACTTACCTTTGAGAATTTCTTATCTCTGTCATAGTCAAGGCGAGGAGGAGCATTTTGTAAGGTCATTAGCAGCACCTGAAACAATTGAGGTTGAAGTAAACAGCAACCAACACACAGAAGAACCTTTATAGAGTTAGGACTCACCTTTATACAGGTGGATATTTGTAAAATGGGGCATGACCATGAGCAAGCTCTAAGGCAGTATTGCCGAACGACCATATATATGTCCGCTCTAGTTAACCGAAAATGAATTAAGTTAATGCTACTCACGCTTGTGTTTGCTTGTGAAGATAGATAGACTTAGACAAAGTGCATAAACATACTTGAAATACGATCTATTATACGACCATTTAATTAAGATATAAAGTATATTCAGAGAAAATAAAAGGTCTTGGAACATATTGGTGAGAAAGTATATTCAGGGTTTATTAATATTGTTAAATTTTAATTCTTGAAAATATGGATTAAACCAATAACATGTGTAAATAGAGTTTTCAGAATGTATAAAAATAAATACATTTTTCATTTTCTTTTTAGAAATTTATTTTGAGAAAATCATATATTTTTGAATTTTAGTTCAGACGATTTATAGACATTATATCCACATAATCAGACAAATATATGTCTACATTTACCTGTCTTCTCGATCATTAGAAAGAAAAAAATTGAAATATAGCTGGCCTATCCCGGATCTAAGAAGAGTTTGACCTTGCCCAAATTCCTCCCAGTTGTTAATAAAAAGTGAAGTAGAAAAGTCGAATCCATGACCAACAGATAGACCTAAACGGTGAGTAGAGGCAGCAATAGAAACAAAGTCGGGCACATGACCGATTTATGTTGCAAAAGAACATACACTACCATAGTATAAGCTTTAATTCCATGTCAATATTATCATCAGCCCCAACACCAGCCTGAGACCGCATAGTGCAAACTTGGAAACCAAAGGCAAATCTAGATATAAAAGTACTTAAATATTTTTCAACTATATATTCCTCTATTGTCAACTATTTTCCGGGTTATTTATATGAATAAAAGTACTTTCATTACTTACACTACTCCCTTACAAGTACTTGCATTACCTACGAAACTAGATTGTAGATACATTATTCTGTGAATTAAATAACCTTGTCATTTTCTTGGTTAACTGCTAAGTAATCATACTCCTTTGTTCAACTATGTGAAATTCTTCTGTCATTCGTGACTAATTCACGCGGTGAAATTAATTAAACGAATCCCAAAATAGAGAAATGACAATTACTCTTGTGGTCCAAGATATACTAGTGCTTAAATATTGTTAAAATGTCCTACATGTTTTAGTAATGGCTAACGAGTGGTCAGATTTTATTCGACCACGTTAAAAACCACAATCTTTCCCTGAAAATGTCCCTCTTTCCCAATTTCGAAACACCTCTCTGGCAATAATGCGTGCCATTTTCTATGAATGGTATCTAATCGTTCATACATTATTCTAGTATTATTATACTCCTATTGTTTTCATTTAGTTTAATTTCAGTGCTGGTATGTATAGTGCATGATTGAGTGTGCATTGGTGAGCCACCTACGAACCAACAGCGACCAAATTTCATTTATACCACACAATAAATAGAACAATTCACTGCCTAACACTTGCCACTTCGTTCGTCTGTAACTCTTGCCGGTTCACATGTGGATATTTCACGACCCAACACGTGTCACACTTGGTGGGAAGATAATGTTTAAAACAGTGTCTTAAAACTTGGGTGGCAGCCAAACTGAATCCAACCATAAAGAGGATTGGTGGCCAAGTAATTTATAAAAGCTATCCAACCGAATAAAAATCTACCAAGAACCGTCTAATAACCCATGTGATCAGTGTGACTCGGTTGAATTTATTAGCTTTAAACTTATTTTAGTTAAATTTATCTAATGTTTTGTCATCATGAAGAGAGTAGAAGTTTTGGTCCAAAACAAATTTAACACAATTAGGGACTGGTTGATGCTATAGCTTACATTTTTCCTTTAGAAGATAGCTTGTGAATTTGTTTTGATTTTAATTTTTTGTACCTTTAATACGAATATAGAAAATTTTCTTTTAAGAATTAACATTTTTTCTATAGCTTTATTTTTTTTTAAAACTAAAGAGTTACTATTTTATAAAAATACCTTAGAAGAAAAATGAATGCTCAAAGCACCTAATGGTCAATCAAATCCCTTAATCACAATTTTTCAAACACAATCCGAAGCATATGAGTATATCACAAAAATATCTACAGAATTAAACAAATATGTAAACCAACTTTACAAACTATAAGTACATTTACAGGGCTGATAATTCCATGCCTTCAGAGAAAACAAAATTGCTAATACATTAATCAAGTTGCGAAAAAGATAAGTTCAAAACAAAAAAAGTTGCGAACAAGATCTGTGGGTCAACTTCACAACACAAGAAAGCCAAGTGAGCTTCTCGAGGAAATAATTTATATGCGAGGTCACCACGTGAACCTCAAAGTCACCTTCCACGTCAGTACACATGTCAGATTATTGAACAAGTCTTGTTTTGCTTCTCGAACAAGTTTTTTTCGTAATTTACCTATTCCATCGTGTTCACGTTCCTTACCCATCACACGAACGCGCTTTTTATTTTGGTCAACTGGTGAAATGTTTTTGTAAATAATATATGTGACTTGATTGGAGGAAAGTCTGTGTTAAACTGTTGAGATTTTCTCAGCTAAAAACCAATAAAAATCAGCTCAAGCATATATCATGTGTTTTTTTTTCTATTAAGGTTTCTAACTAGTATATCCACAAAACAAAACAAAAAACAAAGATTTTGTATTCATTGCATTTTTTTCTAAAGTCAACTATTCATGACTTGTCTCTAAATTGGAGCAACCGATGTATTCAAGATTTATCACGTTCAATTAGTTATGTTCTAGAATCCAAGTTCAGACAACGCCAAACAAAATACTATATCTGACTTATATATAGATATGGAGAACAATTATAGTGTATCAATTTTTCAAGCTGAACTTCCAGTCTTGACCAATAAACAATAAATATTTGACAACTAATTTTATAGTTTGTAATCATAAAAGAAGAAAAGAAAAGTAGGAGACTGAAGAGGCTTTTTTTTTTTTTGGGCAAAGGAGACTGAAGAGGCTTAAAATAATCACACCATTGTATAAAAGAGAGGAACGTTTCCTCTGTTTTTAACAAACCTCTTCAATACTCTTTTTTTCTATTTCAATTTTTTTTTTTGTATTTGTGTGATTATAATCGTTTAAAAGATGCAAGTCGTTCCTCCTTCATCTCCGGCGACGAGTTTCGTCGAGCTTTACGATGACTTCAGCTCGAAACTGAAGGTCGGTTTTACAAAGGAGGAAGAAGATGAAAATAACAGAGATGATAATAATCTTGACAAGTCTTGGTGGAAGAATCAAGAAGATGATGAAGAAGAAGGAGAAGGAGGTGAAGAGTTCTCGTTCACGAGTGTAGACGCAATTAACTCACCGATAACCGCAGATGAAGCTTTCGAAGACGGTCAAATCCGACCGGTTTACCCTTTTTTAAACCAAAATCTCCTCTTCGAACCGGATGAGAGATCTTTCAAGAAGCTATTCGTGGAAAGCGAGGAATCCACCACCGAAAGGGAGGAGGATGAATCTGAGCCGATAGGACCGTACTGCTCGTGGTCGGGTAAAACGGTGGTGGAGAAAGCTTCGCGGGAGACTTGTCGGAAAAGCAATTCGACGGGGTTCTCGAAGCTGTGGAGATTTAGAGATCTTGTTTTGAGAAGTAACAGCGACGGAAAAGACGCGTTTGTGTTCTTGAAGAATCAGTCTTCTTCTTCTTCTTCTACGTCGGCGGCTAAAATGAGCGGTGGCGTGAAGAGAGCGGAGAAAGGGAAGGAGAAGATGATGAAAACGAGATCGGCACACGAGAGGCTGTACATGAGGAACAGAGCGGTAAGGGAGGGAGAGAGAAGGAGATCGTATCTTACTTACTACAAACATGTCGGATTCTTCACCAATGTCAATGGTCTTACCAGAAATGTTCATCCTTTCTGATTCCGACATCTTGTTTTTTTAGTTTACAAAAAAAAGAAAAAAAAATCTTGTTTTGTTTTGAAAATTAAAAAAAAAAAGTTTTTTGTTTTGTCAACAAAAAGGTTATTTCTTCCGACAAAACTTTACCTTTGTATATACCTTTTGTCTTAACTTTGCCTGTATTATATAACCTTCTTTTGTAAGTAAAAGTAAAACATGTTTATTAGCTTAACAGTTCACTTGTAGCGTTTGATTATCTGGTTTTGGATCTAAAGTATCATTTGATTTTTTGTTAAAAGGGGAGTAATGGTGAATAAAAACATGTATAGAAAGAAAACTTGAAGTTAGGATTTATTTATTACTAATTTAATGGTTGACAAAAAAAAACTAATTTAATGATGTTATTTTCCGTTTCTTTTATTAGTTCTGCAACAGTTTTTCATATGGTGCAAGACTCATCCACTACGGACCAACAAGTGTCAAAAACCAATAAAACAAACAGGCGTTACGAGAAATAAACTTGGCACACCATAATAAAAAAACATCTACAGATGGCTACAAATTATTTTTATTTTCCTTTGCATAGACTTATTCAGCCAGTTTTAGATATATTTTTGATAGCTTAATTTTCATTTCTATTCTTCATACTCATTCGTCATATTGCATTATGTTTACCGACAATCTTAATTTTCCTTTTGTGCACCAAACCGACAATCTTAATTATAAGATATCTTCCAAGTACAACCAAATCCATTTACTTGATAGTTGATAGTGACAAGTAAAAGTGTAAAACCAAGTACAACCAAATCCAATCTTTAACCTTTTGACAATAACACACCAACTTGAAAATATATTGTTTTATGGAGGCCCATACGCAAACTATAGCTCTCAAAGCTTTATGTATAGAGGCCCATGAAAAAAAACTTGGGCCTAAAATAAGCATTTTCAATCTGAGAAGCTAAGGCCTCTGATTGGGTAATTGACCCATTAAACCTCGTATGTGTATCTACTTAGTAATGCTACTACCTGGACAGGTTACTACAGTTTTTCGCCTGGTTTTGGTAAATGGAACAGAGGACCAGAGGTCCAAGCCCTCTAGAAGCAAAGGCTCTAAGACCATCAGTGCAAGAAGCTGCTACCGACTCTCATCTTTGGATCAACCTGCTTCTCTCGACCAACAACTAGGATGTCTTTAAGCTAGATTATTCCAAATATACTTTTGCTTATGAAGTTCTTAATATCAATCTTGGATTGTTGGGTGATTTGATATGTGTAGTTTTATGACGCAAAGACGAAAGAGAGTAAGGGTGGATATCTTTGGGTGAAACTTGTATAGGGTAAGTTTTTGTTATTTTTTCAGATTTTCCGCCAATGTCACAAACTGTTTTGATAAGTGCCGGTCTTGAGTACAAGCTTTAGAAACTGTAGCTTCCGATCCTAACGAATATTTAAAATTTTGGCAGTAACTTTGCATATATTTTCAGTAGTCTAGTTGACAAAAGCATCTTTGTAGCTCCTTAGAGGGTTAAGGGCTCGAGAGCTTCTTACGCTGCACTTTCATGTTTTTGACAAAATATATAAATAAATAGGTCCGTTTTTGGATTCCAGCATTGAAATTTATAGAGATCGGCATGGTTTTGATCCAACCGATACAAATTTTTAAAAATATATTGATTACTAACTTTATGTAATAGAAATTTGATTTAGTTTTGTTTTAAGTAAATGGGCTTTTCATTGTGGAGATTATTTACATATTTTAAATGATAATATGTAGAATAAAAAAGTGTGCAAGCATAAAATTAGGAAAAAATCTTGTGAGATTATCTTTTTTTTTTTGATCAGTTTCAAACCTTTTACAATAAATATCTATATATATATATATATATATATCAATAGCCTGTAGGTATGTGCAGATCCTATACTTTGTTGTGATTTTTTACTAGATAAAACATATGAAACAAATAAAAAAGTAAAGTGAAAGAAAGAAGAAGCCCTGCTTCACTCAGATTTCGCTTTCTCTATCCCCTTACGGAGCGCCCCCACAATGCTTGAATGGTCGTCATAATTCCTTAGAACATCGAAAATTCAAACCCCATCTATCTATGGCCATATCCAATAAATTTCTGAAATAAATATATAAACTAGCAGTAGTTTTTTGGTTATTTCAATTCCCAAAAAAATCTGCATTTATCATCTTCACCCCTAGAGGTTTTCGAGGAGCTATCGACTGCCAACAAAGAGCATTGCCAAGTCATTCTATATCCCCTAACCCTTGCATTAGGTAATTTCACTTCTCACGTTTATCTTCCTTTTGTTTAATTGTATACGCGAGTGATTACCAATTCCACATGAACTTTGTTTCTTCAGATTTATGTTTGAAAAACTACAAACAAATCTCTATATGATGTTTCTTGGGGGTTGAGATATCTCAAAAGCTGGCCATTTGTTTCCCTAAAATGGATTGTAATTTATATTGTTTAAATAGAACAGTTTTTAAATTACTCATGGAATAAAAAATGTAACAAAAACTACTTAGGAACCCTTCGGCCCGAATGAAAAGCCAGCTTAATTTTCTTTTTAGCATTTTTTAAGCCAGGAAAAGCTTGCAAGTATGTATTCATTTTTTTTATATATGAAAACAAAAGAGTTGAGAACCATTTCAGTATTGTATTATTTATCTGTTTTAATAATTGAGCTTCGGTCATCGCATAATTTCAATACAAATATTTTTGTTATAAATCTGTTATGAATTAAAAAAAAAACGAATGCCGACGTGAGTAATCGATTATGTAGTGAATAATAGAACGAGACGCAATCTCTAATTTATTCACATAAAACAATTAAATTAATACGTATTTGGACAGATAGTTCGGAGAAGCGGGAAGAGATCCCTTCATGGCTCCCACATTCGGCAAATGTTTCACGTTCTGCTGTGCTAAGACCTCTCCGGTAAGTCCGACCAACACATTTTTTCAAGTGAAACAAAGAAAATGAGTATTGTCTATTTTTATGAAAGAAAAATTAGTTAGGCCCTAGTGCTGATTTATCTATGCAATGCAACGTCAATTTTAAAAAATTGAAAAGCAAAGTTTTTAAAAAGAGAAATTAGGCTTAATAACCTAAAAATCAACAAGGGTCTATCACCTTTTGAATCATTTTTCTATAGCTATTTTAGTAGTGATAGTATTAATTTATGCACAGTTGCACCCATACATAATGACGAAATCTACCTCGAAATAACAATAACAATTAATGTAAAATGCTGACACGTAAATGCCAGCTTGTAAGTGCGGTTAAACCGTTAAAAACATGACGCGTGTTTTGGCCTATAAACTTGCCTTCGTTGACTTTATACTGGTATGGTCATTGGCCACCGCCCCATCGGAAAAGACGAATACCATTTGCTTTTCTTTTATCTGCCTCTACTTGAGTTTACTTCGAGTCGAAATCAGTTTATGGTCAAGATAAATAAGCTAACTTCTTTTTTTTGAAAAAGGGCATTAAAAGATTGTTACTGAGTAGAGTTAGAGTATTCAAGATTGAAAGTTAGCGATAATTTGCCATAGATTATTGATAAGTGTTTTTCTCACCATATAAATCGTAATATATTCTTGAAAAATGTTTAAGTTTATTCAAATCAATTTTTTTTACAACATGTGTGATGTGTGACTTGGTTCTGAGATATAAGTCGTCGTATTAATCTGCTCACAAGTCACAAATGTCTTGCAACTTGTAATATATAATGTTAACTAAAATGTCATTAGAATTACTCAAGAAAATAAGATTTTGCATACATTCTTGAAGAAACATTACAGTAAAGTCTATCTCGACTATTAACTTCTGATGAGGATAGCCTGCACTGGTGATGATGTGCATGCTAAGACTGACTCATCCTTTTCTATCAACTTTGATGTTTATTCATATTGCTGCGTGACAAATTCTGATTGGTACTTGTATAAATGAAAAAAAATTGTATCAAACAACAGTGATGAATTTGTTTTTCTGTCTGCACCAATAATGGTTTAAGTTATTTTCTCGAGTCCTGGGTAAATTTTAATACCTAACACAAAATCTTACCACAAATGGAAACGGAACATGAGGTGGATAAAATTCTGAAAGATATTTGATTTTACTTTCTTATTTTCTGAAAAAAAGAACAATGGACTTAGTTGTGGAATATTCTTATCACAACTACAGAGTATACAGATTATCTGTATACTGATAAACGAATCAAGAATATAGAACAATAAATACGGCACGTTCATTCTTTAGTTATCACCACCTATATTATTCATAAAATCACCAATTCGCCCTATACTTTTTCTAATATTTACTATCAAGTCACTGTACTATAAGATATATCTTAAAAAATTATTAATCTTCCCATTTTTGTGGAGGTTTATATTTTTTTCTTCTGTGTAAAGAAAACAAGTTTGGTACCAAAAAAAGAGTGAAAATGTAAGACTTAACCAAAGAGGCTATAGAGCTCTCAGTAGTCTATAAATACCTGTTCTCATAACAGAGAGAGCATTAAGTGTTATCACATTCCTCCATAAGCGTTTTATAAAGTCATCATCCTCTGCTTTTGAACCCTAAGGTCTCTGTCTTTCTTCAGATCCCTAAGTTCATAATCATCGTACTCTTTTTCTGGAATTTGACCTGATCATCTTTTCCTTTTTTTTTTTGCTAAAATTTGGTGGACCTGATCATCTTACTCTTTTAAAAAAAAATCAGGAAGGAGACGAAATGGCCACGGACGCGTACGAAGCCGCCATTAAAGGACTTAAGGATCTTCTCAGGTACGATAATATACTCTTTCTCTCCTCTGCTTCAAAGGACAATCATTACATAAAAGTGTCGGCATATTTAACCTTCAACAGTCAACCCTTATGTTTTGTTTTTTTTTTAACCTTGGTTCACAAATCATCATCATGCGCCTTGATTTTTGCGTTATACTATTTTGCATGAACTGACATGTCGGACTGATCCAAGCCGTCGATCACTGGGTCCCGTTTTAACCATGAGGGATAAAAAAGTATATTCCAGATATAACGTTTTTTTTATGTAATGAGTTTTATTTTTGATGTTGGTCAGTAAGAAGGCAGATCTTGGGAGCGTGGCCGCGGAGAGGATCAAAGAGTTGACTCAGGAGCTTAAGGAGCTTGATTCCAGCAACAATGACGCCGTTGAACGTATCAAATCCGGTTTCACCCATTTCAAAACTCAGAAATACTTGTGAGTCTTTTCTTTTTTTATAGTAATAATTTTATTTTCCT